GAAACGACTCGAATGAGAAAATTGAATAAAACAATTTTTTTTGTTTTCACTCTTTCTATTTTTCTCTTCTCTCTCTTTCTCTTTCACGAGTGTCGGGAAAGAATTTTATCTGGATCTTATCAGTATTATTATTATTATTATTATTATTATTTAAGTGAAATTAAATAAATTTTTTTAACGGAAAATGAAAAAAAGTATAAATTAAATTAATAAAAAAAAAATTTTTTTTTTTTTCGGTTTATTTTACTGTCAACTTTAATAAAATCATTTAATTCATAAAATAAAATAAAAATAAATAAAATAAAAACAAAATGGCGGAAAGGGAGATAATGAAAAGAAAAAATAAAAGTTTGAAAACTTTCTTTTTTTTTTTAAGTTACTGCCAGTATTAAAGATATTTTTTAAAAAAAAGGAAAAAAAAATTTCTGGCATTTTTTCATTTTTTTTTTTATTGTCCCGAGTCGATTTAAAGTTAAAATAAAATTTATTTATTTATTTTTATTATTATTATTATCATTATTATCATTAGTAGTAGTAGTAGTCTTATACTACTTTTTACTAGTTTTAACTAGCCCGAATGCAGTAGACATCTTTATATCAAAAAATAAAAACATAAAAAAAAAAAAATTCGATACACATTCTCGTCGTTGTCATCATCATAATCATCGTCATCAACATCATCATTATTTTTTTTTTTTTTCTCGCGTTAAATGTGTGAAAATGAAAAAAATTGGAGAGAAAAAAAAAGCAGGAAAAAGAATGAAAAAATGATGCAGCTTTTTTTTTTTTAAAAACAGTGAAAAAAGAAAAAAAAAGAAAAAAAGAGTGCAATCACAATAGAAGTTTAAAAAAAGAAAGAAAAAATAAGAAAGAAGAAAAAGAAAAAAAGGAAGAGAAAAAATAAGGAAGAAAAGTTTAAAAGGAAAAAAGGAAAAGAATAAATTTTTTTTCTTATTAAAAATAATTTGAAAGGTTGAACAAAAAAAAAAAAAAAGAAAAAAAAGAAAAAGAAAAGTTATAATGAAAAAGCCTACTGCTACTACTACTAATACTTCAAGAGAAAAAGAAAAGTGAATGACAGAGAGAGAAAGAGAGGAAAAAGGTAGAAAGAGATAAAAATAAAAATAAAAGAAATAAAGAAAGAAGAAAAAAAAGAAAAGAAGGAATGGGGAAAATAAAAAAAGGTGGTAAAGATGAAGAAAAAGTGAAAGAGAGAGATAGAGATAGAGAAAGTGAGAGTGAGAGAGAGATAGAGAGAGAGGGAGAAAGAGAGAGAGAGACAAACACATAAAGAAAGCGAAGAGCTTTGAGTTGTGGTTAAATTTTAAAAATATTTGAGTCGAATAAAAAATATTTTTTTTTTTTTAAGATCGCCTTGAGAGGTTTTCTCCTTGAATTCCTTTTCGTTGATTTTTCCTTTTCTTTGTGCCTGCGTGCGTGTGCGTGTGTGTCTAAAAGGAAAAAAATAAAAGGAAAAAACAAGAAAACAAGAAAACAAGAAAAACAAAAAAAAAAAGAAAATCATAAATACGAAAATGATTTTAATAAAAATAATTAAACACGGATGAAAAGAATGTCTTTCTCTTTCTTTCTTTCTCTCTCTCTCTCTTTCTCTTACTCACTCTCTCATTCCCTTATTAAATAATAAATTTTTTAAAAGGACTCCGCGATCCGACCAATCAGATGCGATTTTTCGGGGAAAAAAAATTTTTTTTTTTTTGTTATCGTTTCTCTTTCGATATGATTGCAAATATTATCAATATCATTATTATTATTATTATTAAATATTGTTGTCGTAACTATTATTTAAAATTTATTAATAAACAAACAAAATTTTAACCGTTAAATAAAATAAAATAAAACTGACATGTTTTTATCGCGGTTGGTTCTTATGTAAATTTAATATTATTATAATCATTATCATCATCATCATTATTATTATTATTATTTGTTTTTCGGAGTGTAAAATATATATTTTATAAAATGTTCTTTCAAAAATTCCGAGAGTCTAGCTCAAAGGAAAAAAAAAAAAAAAAAAACGCGCGAGTGAGTGTTTCTTATTTTATTATCATCATCATCATTATTATTATTTTCTCTTCTTCTTTTTTTCACGGGGGTCTCCCCCGTGTTTTTTATACCATCATCTTTTGTTCGCACTTTTCTCTTCAACCTTCACTCCCCTTAAATCTCTTCCTCTTCTTCTTATTTTCATTTTCTCTTTTGTGTTTTTATTTTTCGTTTTATCATGTTGCGAGATGTTTTGTTGTCTGTTGTTTGTTGTTTGTTATTTTCATTTATCATATTTTCATTTAAAATTTTTTAAAGGGATTGCATTTTTATTTATATATATATATAAATTATTAAACGTGTTTAACTCGTGTTTTCTTTCTTATTTTTCCTTTTGTTTTTTTTTTTTTTTTGACATTCCCGGCGCGAATTTCACCGTCGCACATTCAATTATTGTTATTATTATTATTAAAATTTAATTCGCGGTTAGAAAGAGCTCCTCCTCCCCCCGCGCCTTTCAAAATAAAAAAGAGCAAAAACAAAAGGTTTCAAACGTAGTTAAAAATTGAAAAAATTTTATATGTGTAATTACATTGCATCGTAATTTATTTCAACAAAGTGGTGACAAAAATTATTTTTGCCCGGGAAGGAGAGGGAAAGAGAGGGAAAGGAGAGAAGTTTGTTTGTTTGGTGGTTTGTTGTAAAGGCATTCTAATCTATGCGGATTTCTAACAACGACGACGACGACGACGATGACGATGACGATAATAATGACAATCTTTGGATTTGAAATATGGTTAATTATTGTGACAAAATTTTCATTTGTAAAATTACAAAACTTGAAATTTCTCAGCTTATCTACTCATAATCATTATCATTATCATCATCATCGTGAGTTTTAACGGGGAGACAAATTAAATTTTTCGATTTCGATTTTAAAATGGATGCCGTTGCTTTGGCTCCTCCCGCTCCCGCTCCCGATCCTGTTTTTGAAATTTTAGAAATTTTATTATGAAAACGAATTTTATTTAATTGCCGGGAAAAGCGGAAAAATAAATTATAAATGTTTTTTAGTAACGTGCTTTTAAGCTTTTAATTTTCCTTCTTTTACCTCCCACCCCCCGTTCCCCCACTTTTTTTTTCTTCTTTCCTTTCCTTTCCTTTTTTTTTTTATTCTCTTTAATCGATCGGTTAAAAGGTGTTTCAACGCACACACACGCACCGGACCACATAAACTTGCGTTAAAGAAAAAATGCGGCGGGGGCAGTGTGTGTGATGTGCATAATGAGTATTATTGAGTGCGACAGCGAGTAGACATGCACGTCATCCTCGATATATATATATATTTTTAATCTCTTTTCGTCTGGGAAGGGGAAAAAGAAAAAAAAAAACAGTCAAAGCCGACCGTATAATTTTTATTATTATTATTATTATTATATTATTATTATTATTTCCTTTTTTTTAATCTAAACCTGTCAACGTTTTTGTTTCCTTTTAAATCAACGTCGTAGGTACACCCCCCAATCACCCCCGTTTGCCCCCCCTCATTTTTTTTTTTACCTTATAAAACCGCTTTTCCCTCGTTGTTGTTTCTCATTACAAATAATTTCTCTTTTTCTTTTCGGTTTTTTTTTTTTTCGGTTACGCCCCTGTCGGTGCTGCGAACGTACGAAGGACGAAGGGGGGGTGAGGGGTGTGGTGGGAGAGAGAAAAATTTCATTTAATTTTTTTTAACAAGCATAAAACTGATTATTTGTTGGATGATTTTTCTTTTTTTTTTTTTTTCGTGCCCACGAAGTAGAGGGTTTTTTTTGTTGTTGTTGCGGACAAATTAATTGGACGCGTGTGTGGAAAGGAAAGGGAAGGGAGGGAGGGAAACGTTTTTCATATTAGGCATGATTTTCCTGGAGAAATAATAATAATAATAATTTTTATTCGGTTCAAAATTTCATTAATTGATTTATACACGTGGAAAATAATTTAATTTTTTACAAAAAAAAAAAAAAAATTAAATTTTATTGCATTGTATATGGGTGGTATTTGGCGGTAATGGTGGCGGTGCTAACTGAGGCGGCATCGGTGGCGGGGTGGTGGCGGTGGTAGCGGCCTTGGGGAAAAAACAAAAAGTAAAAAAATTTATATTCTCTCGGTTGACAATGTGACTTTTGGCGGAATCGAGCGCATGCTTGAATTTTTTTTTTTTTTTCCATTGATTAGTTTTCTCCTTTTTCTTATGGAGTTTATAAATGTCGCAGGTCTGGATTTGAGATTTAAAATAATAATAATAATAATAATAACAATAATATTTGTTGCGGTGCCCTGCGTTTGAAAATTAAAAAAAAAAACGAGGAATTTTCCAGAATTTTTCCATTCTCGTTTACTTAAACGATTAATCTTACCTAACCAAAATTATTTTCCATCGCGTTTTTTTTTTTTTTCATTTTTTAGTCATCATCATCATCATTATCAAATTTTTCATTCAAAATGTTTTATTAACTTTTATTATTATTACTATTATTATTATAATTAATAATATTACGTTGGAAAAATTGAAAAATGATGTTTATCTTGAATATAAATAAATAAATAAATGAAAAGAAAAACTAATAAAACTATTGTTTTTAATTAAAAAAAAAAAATGGCGGAAGGGAAAATTCGTTTGTTTTACCCTCTCCTGTGGTATACAAAAAAAAAAAAAAAAAAAAATTAATAAAAGATTAAAATCTTTGAATAATGTTTGTATAAATTATAAAGAGAGAGAGAGAGAAAGAGAGAGAAAAAAAATTGTTTTGTCGGTTTGTTTGTTTGTTATAACACGAAAAATGCAAAAATTCAAAGGGGTTGAGAAGGGAGGATAGGAGGGGGAAATAATTTGCGTTTTGTTTTTGTTGTTGTTTTTGTCGTTCTTATGATTATTATTATTATTAATAATTAAAAAATTTTTTTTTTTGTTTTATTAGGTGGAATGTAAGAAAGCGCAACCAAAAGAAGTTATGTTACCTGCCAATATAGCAAAGACAAGAGCTGCCGGCCGAGGCGCTTACGGTGAGTTGGTTAGACTTACTCCATCGAATCCTTCCGGCGGGCCGTCAATAGCCGCAGCCCCACATACCGCCACATACCGCTACACTCCGTATCCGATACCCGCATCATCGTCCCATCATGCCGCCGTGGCAGGGGTGACGATGCCTATAGTGCCCGTCGTCACCGCTCCGGCAACTCCCACGTTCCAATATGCTCCCGTTTACGATGTCACGAACGCGGTGCAAGCTGCCCAATCGGTTAAAAGAGCTTTCGCCGTGGCCATGAGACCGCAACCGGCGGCTCCGACACTTAGTTATTCTATGACAGATTTATTAGGGGTTCAAGGCCTTGATGTCGGTGCCGTGTATCATCCCATACCGGCTGCCGTTGGTCTTTGACCCATTCTAACATCTCTGAGACCGCAGTAAAGGCAAAAAACGTCGTCGTCGTCGTCGTCGTTGTTCGTTCCTTTATTATTAACTTTAAGTAAAATAATAATAATAATAAAACAGGTCCAGGGAGTCAGTCAAATTGTGATGGAAAATTTAAACTTTTTTTTTTTTTTTTTTCAATTTAATCCAGCCGACTGGAATTTTTTTTAATAGATGAGAAGATAAAAACGAAGATAAGATAGCAAACAAAAAAACGTTTTTTTTTTTTTTCATTTTTTTTATTTTTAACAAAATGATCCACAGGATTTTTTCTCGTTCTCCATTTTTTCTTCCCCTTTTTTTTTTTTTTATATCCAACAGGAAAAAAAAATCGTTTCGTTTGAGTGTTTTTTTCCTGCTGCTGCTTCTAACTTTGCCCGGAGAAAAAAAGAATTATTATCGTTATTATTATTATTATTATTATTTTTAATCATTTTAAACATTTTTATCTGTTATCGAAACGTTTTTTATTTTTAATTGAATATTTTGGAAAATTTGGAAAATTTTCATACGTGAGAAAGGTTAAATGAACTAAATTTTCTCCAGTTTTGTGTCGCACAAAAAAAATTTTTAAAATCATTTCGTTTATCTCATCTTATGTTATCTTGTTTGATCTAAAAGAAAATCATAAAGTTTTTCTCCAGTAAAAAAATATGCGTAATACACGTCGTGTAAATTTTTTTGTTGTAAAAGTTAAAATACCTGTAAAATTTTCAAAGGTTACCCCTTCCCTCCCCCCAAAAAAAAACTTTTTTCTGTATATTTTTTCCTAGTTTTAGTATATAATTCGTAATTTTTGTTTTTTTTTTTTTTTTAAATTTTAAAGTTTTAAAAATGGTCCTAAAAGTACTACCGAAGGAAGGGTGTGGGCGTATGTGGGTGTGTGCGTGTATGTGCGTATAAGGTTTTTTTAAATTTTTCTTGTTTTTTTTACTCTCGTAAACATTTTATGGTTTTTCTTTCTTTTTCTTTTCTTTTTTCTTCGTCAGTAACAGAATAATATTATCCAGGCAGCTTGCACCAGGGTTCGCATTAAAAAAAAAATAAACAAAAAAACAAAATTTCGTGCACCGGGTGTAAGCAAACGGGGTTATGAGTTTGAGAGTCGGATAAAAAAAAAAACGGCGGAACCGGTATAAAATAGTAGTAATGGTAGGAGGAGGAGGAGGAGGAGGCCGCCTTTAAAACTCTGACGAATCCGACTCGAAAATTTCGGTTATTGAAATTGAAAATTTGAGATATTTTTTAAAGACATTGATATTCATAGATGAGAGAATCCTCTCATCTCCTTCGTTTTGTTTTCATCGGGAAAAAATCATTATTATTATTATTATTAACTGTTTTGGATTTTTATGGGATTCCCTGTCTTTTCCGGTTCTGACATTTTACTTTTTATTTCGTATACACACATACGCATTCATATATATATTCACGTGGAAAATTTTAAAAGTTAATAATCCTTGACTTGACATTAAAAAATATTTTTATTCTCCTCCTCCTCCTCACCTCATCATCATCATTATTATTATTATTATTATTATTATTATCATTATTTTGGGGAGGGGGTGGAAATTTTTTTTTTCTTTTGTCGTAAATGAAAATTTATTAAAATACCACGTGAAATAAATATGCCATCCGGTTGAATTTTAATTACAAAAGCGAAAGGAAAAGCCAAAAAAAAACGAGGCATTCATTCATTCATTCATTCATTCATTCGTTTATTATTATTATTATCATTATTATTATTATTAATTTTTCCCGATGTTTTTATTATGAACACGTTTATTTTAATTAAACACGACGATGACCGAATTTTTTTTTTGAAAAACTAACGATCGGGTTTTTAGTTTGATCTACGCAAGATATTTAAACATTTTTTTTCTTATTTGTTCTGGATGAATCTTCCTCCAGGAAATCCCCGTTTGCTTTTTCCGGTTTGCCCGATATTTGTTTTAAATTTACAACCCCCCTTAAAAAAAAAAAAAAAAAAAAAAATTTTCAGGGAAAATGGAAAAGCCATTGATTGTTTTTATTGTTTTTTTTTTATAATGAAAAATGTTATTTTTAGTACGATTATTACTGCTACTACTACTACTTATACTACTACTAAAACTACAACGAAAAATTTTCGTACTATTGTTGTTATTATTATTATTATTACTAGTATCATCATCATCGTCATAATTATTAAATGAAATAAGTCGTGAAATTGTTAAAAAAAAAAAATTTTGATAATCCATTTGAGTATAAAATTTTTTTTTAGTTTTTTTAGTATTTTTAGTTCTTAAATTTTTTTTAATCATTGAAATATAGAATGAATGAATGAATGAATGAGTAAGTGAGTGTGAAAGTGAGGGTGAGAGGAGGCGTAAATAAAAGGAAGAAAAAGTTGAAGAAAAAACAAAAAGGAAACTGAAGATGGAAAGGAAGAGAGAGAGAGGAAGCGATTAAAAACTAAATTATCATAACTTTAAGGATTTCCGGTTGATAATAATAATAATAATAATAATAATAATAATAATAATTATTCCGAGGTTGGTAGATTTTCGAATAAAATTTAAAATTTATTAAACGATCGTGAATCGAAACGTATAAAAAAAAATTATTAATAATAATAATGATAATGATAATAATAACGAAAACAATTAATTAAAAAAAATGAAAATTTTTTTTAGCCAAGTTTTAAGGAAATTTAAATTAAAATTTTGAAAAGAAAAAAAAACGAATTTAAATTATTATTATTATTATTATTATTATTATTATTATTATTATTATTATTATCCACCATTAAACACAAGGCTACTTGTCGGAGTTTTTTAAGTATTTATCCGAGGTTTCTACCCGATTCCTTAGGGACAAATACTCGAATTTCGGTGGTGCCACTTATTATAAGATAGCACCACATCAATTCTTGAAGGTCTTCCTGAGTCCGTCTTTTTCGATGGGAACGATTTGTCTCCTGAACTGGGCTCCGGTGACTAACATCTTTGGAGTGGCCAGGGTCAGAAGCAGTGAAATTCACGTTCTCGTCGAGCTGCCTCAGGTCGACAGTAGAACAAGATTTTGTTTTTGGTTCTTACTTTGTCTTGTTCTCATTTTTTTTTTGCTCTTTTAAGCCAACAGCACGTGGCGTTCTCAGACGGTCACCCATCCAAGTTTGCACCACGCCCGATGCTGCTTAACTTCGGTGATCGTACGGGAACCGGTGTGACCAGCACGCTATGGCCGTTGGCTTTTATTATTATTATTATTATTATTATTATTATTATTATTTATATTTATTTTTCTTTGTTTCGTCGTTGTTTTTGTTTGTTTGTTCGCTGTTGTTGTTGTTGTTATCGTTATTGTTGCTGTTGTCGTTGTTTTTCTCGGTTTTGTCGTTTTTCTCATCGTCTACGACGACTACGCGTAAGATAGAAATAAAAAAAGAAAATTTTTTTTTTTTTGTTTGCGGTTTTTTTTATTTATTTATTTATTATGAATTAACTAACGGAGGCGGCGGTAAAATTTTAAATTTTCTAACCTTTTCCGCCTCCCCCGCGCCCCACTCTAGTTTTTTATTCTTCTTTTTATTTATTTATTTTTTAATAATAATAGTAATAGTCGAGAGGGTAAAGGAAAGCGGAAAGCGGGGGGAGGCGGAAACCTAAAAGTAAATTTAAAAAAAAAAAATATAATTATAGTGAATAATTAAAATCGGTCCGTATCCGGAAAATGATTCGGGTGAGTTTAATAAAATTTTACTATCTCTTTCTCTCTCTTCCTCTCTGTGTGTGTCTCTCTCTCTCTCTCTCTCTCTCTCTCTCTCTCACTTTTTTGTATCATATTAAATCATTTTGTTTTTGTTTGTTATTACGCTTAACGAAAACGGTCGAAAATAAAAATAAAATCATCTTAAATTTTTTTTTTTTTAGTTGTTTTTAGTCGTTTTTAGTCGTTTTTTTTTTTTTAGTTTTTTGTGTTTTTAATTTTAAAAAAAATTTTATTACTCAAAAAATGGTGGTTAACGTTATTAATTCGTTTTCCTTCCCCCCCCCCGTTTTTTTTTTTTTTTAATTTTTTACCGATGAAAAAAGAAAAAATTTTTTAATATGGTTGCACAAAGGAAACCGCAAAACGGTGGGAAGGGAAAAAAAATTTTTATTTATTTATTTATTTATTTTTCGTAACGGAAACGGTTAACATATGTATCAGAATATAAATAAATAAATAATCATCGATTAATAACAAAAACAAAACAAAAAAAAAGCAGAAGAAAAAAATTTTTTTTTAAACCAAAAAAAGAAAAAGAAAACTAAGGCCGTGACTACGATGATGATGATGATAATAATAATAATATTTTGGTTACCTGAACGTTTTTTTAATAAAAATTTCTCTCATTGGGTTTTCCATTCGTACATTCATTCATTCATTCATTCATTCTTTATCTATCTATTAATTTTTAACGTTTGAATATTTAATTTCAAGTCACGTTTAATTTTCCATTTAAAATGCCAAATTATTGGAATGTTTAAAATAATGGAAACAAAATTTTCCTTCCTTCCTTTTTTTTTTTTTTTTTAAACAAAATTTAAAAGCGGCCCAGAGGCGGCGGCGTCGGCCATATTTACGATCGTAAATTTTAAAATTTTAACTTTTACTACCCTCGTTTATCGTATACGGGGTAAAAATAAGAAAGGAAGGAAGAAAAGGAAAAAAAACGGTCGGGGGAGGCGCGAACCCAAGGAGGAAAATTTTTTTTCTCCCGCCTCCCACTCAATCCACCCCCCACCCTTCGGTACGTTTCGCGTGACGACTACAATTACAACAATATCTTTCTTCCACGTGTTAGAGAGAGATATATAGGGGATGGAAAGGGGTGGAGGTGGAGGAATAAAAAAAAAGATTCGAATTTAAATTCGCCGGGTCGTATTTCGATTCGAATTTTTTTTTACCTTTTTCCTCCATTTTCTTTTTTCTTTTTTTTGTGGAAATTTTAAAAATGAGATTTTATCCGGAGTAAAAAAAAAAAGATTTGAAACAATAAATTGGCATTTGAATGGTTGTAAAACTAAAAAAAAAAAATTTTTTTTTTTGATGCTTTTTGTAGAAAATCATTCGAAATTAATTTATATATATATATATATATATATATATATATATATTGTTTTTCCTACTCAATCATTTTTTATATAATATATAATCATTATTATTACTGCTACTACTAATAATAATACTACAACACGCGCATATCAAATTACTCGTGTTGTTTATCAACGCAACGAATAAAAAAAAAATTTGTTGACAATAATTGTAATCAATTTAATGTTTTGCACATATATATATATAATATTTAATAAATGCGTGCGCGATCACGTGTGCGACCACGTGGTCGCGCGCGAATTAATATTTTTTTTTTTCTGTAGATTTAACTGATAATAAAAAAATGAATAATATATATATAAGTATATATAAATAATCATCGTCGAGAGTAGAATTGTTATAAAGTCCGAGAAAAAAAAATCGCAATATGATAATAATAATAATTAATTTAACAAAATTTAAAAGAAAAAACGCGCGAAAATCGTCCATTGTTTGTTTTTTTTCTCGTACTTAAAAAAAAAAAAATCCATCGGACT